CTCTATCTATTTTATCCATCTGACTTATAATCCGTGTCTCAGTGCTTTACGATACCAGTCACCTCTGTGGAAACTGCCTTTTTTTATTTATATTTGAGTGTTGTATGTCTTTTAATAATGACCAAGAGTCTCTTCAAATACAAGCTGATGATGATGATGATGATGATGATGATGATGATGATGATGATGATGATCATGATGATGATGAATGCGTCCCGTGTCACCTAAAATCCATGAGGCATAAACCCTAACCCTATTTTTTGGGATAAAATGCGAGTAATGACATCATAATGGCCGCATACCATTTATCTGATGCTCTGTTATTGTGCACGCTGTGTCACCAGCACACCTGAATGTAAGAGAGTCGTTAGTGACATCCACTCTTCATCTTTCTGCTGTGACATGTCAAAATGTCTTGAGAGTTTTCTCCTTTTCAAATCACAGGATTTTGAAGGACGCATGGTCATAAACTATACACCGCATGATACAATAAATCCATGTGGAAAGTTTTCCCTCATCAACTGTCATAATCTTATCAAATACAATTAGGTTTAGTGACAAAACATTGATGATGAATCTAGTCTAAACTTGTGTAAGGTTATGATTATGTCTGGATGCTTTTTATACAATTGTATTTTATTGACATGGCCCTCCTTTCGTTTAACTCTACTCTTCAAGGTATATCTCTTCTATAGTTGTAACTAGATATTTAGAAAGTATTATAATACAAATTATTTGTTTTTAAACTTATGATAACTTCAGTCATTCCCAGTACTCAACTTGCAACTTTACTGTCAAACTTTGCTTTGAATATTTCCTAACCAGTATTTTTTTCTTCTAAATGGTTTAGCCCTCTGGAAAAAAACACTCAAGTGTGATTTATTAACTATTTGTATTGTTTAATGAGTACAACTGTATTTATGCTTACTAACAGTAACCCTGTGTTATGCAATGACTATAAAATTACCCCTTGATTTTTCAGAGTATACATGAGATAAAGTATTACAAGCAGCTTTCAATCCAATGAAACACAACCACTATAATTGCAGGTTTCAAAATGCAAATGATGAGCTTCACAAATGTAGGATATGTTATTATTGCATTAAATGTACAGGTGTATCTGTTGCATTTATAACCTGCATGTTCACGTAGATCCTGAGCAGGATAGCTGATGGACTGCAAATAATTAAAGTGACCATGAGCGATTCATATGTGCAGCAACTTCTGTGTCAGTCCACATGGAGAATTAAAGCCATTTCCCTCCACAGGGCGACTCTCTCAGTCCCTCTGAGTCGGCTGCAGTGCGTCATCATTACAGTTGTTGCTCTCGGATGCTTCAGCAGCCCGGCTGTAATGAAATCTGAGCGCCTGTTATGGCAGGATGACCTCACCTCAAACAGTGAACCTGCTGCAGCTAAACAAATATAATGAGGGAGGTATATGTTGGGTTACAGTACTGGAAAGTTTATTTCCTTGTCTTCCTGGAAAGGCAGTTTGAAAATGCCAATTTTACTTGATGTAACAACAAGTTGTCTGATAATTGTTGGAACATGTACTCTGACTTTCATGTCTGATGGTACCTGTAGGTATACAATATTTGCAGTCTGTGTTTTTATCTTGTGCAACTTTATATTAACGACACTCCTGTTCTGGCAACTGTTTTAAATATATGATGTTAAGAGTTGAATCAACCCAGGTGGGACTCGAACCCACAATCCCCAGCTTCGGAGGCTGATGCCTTGTCCATTAGGCCACTGGGTTATACATTAGAGGGAATAAACCTACATAATTTGTCTTGCTTGCATTCACAAGAAATACATTAAGACATTTTGAAGAAACAGGTTTGTTTTCCTAAGATCAAAACGTTCAATTGTCAGGACAACAACAAGGAGCCAAACCACAGGAAAACAGTCTATCATCTTTTTATAATCAATCAGAATCAAACTGTGTTTTTTATTGATGATGTTCGAGCAGAAACTGTCAATTTCAATCAACGAATGCATTTTTGAAATACAGACACACAAAATAGGGAGGAGGATAAGTATGAGTCAGAGGGGGAGAAATTAATGCATTATTGGGATTAAATAATACATTTAAAAAACGTGTGTTATGAATTTGCTTCAGACCTGTAGACACACTTTCCCTTTTGGTGTTTTCTGTCTTTTCTTTTTAACATCCCCTTTAAGATTTAATAAATAAAGCATTCTCAACCCCTCTATTTATTTCACTTTGACACACGCACAACACCCAGGGAGTAACATTGATATTGTCTGGGAGCGTTAACTCGGTCAGATCAGACTGAGTTGTTGTGCGACATCCATCACACCGATCAGCCCAGACTCCTCATTTTCCACTCAAGTGTAATTCTTCATGACCACCTTTTGCTGAATTTGATTTGTTGGATGCAGAAGGAGTTACTGACACAGTTAAGTATGCAGTCTGTCAGTCATTCGTCAACACCAAAAACTTTATTTCACGCCAGATATTCAATTTCAATTCAATTCAAAAGCTTTATTAGCATGACCATATTTACATACAGTATTGCCAAAGCTATGTATAGTTGTAACATCTATACAAAAATACATACAAATAAACAAATGAACAGTTATAAACAAACTGCTAAGAACATGTTTTTTGTTGTTGTTGTTTTTTTTACAAGGAATACAGATTCATTTCATTCATATAATACATGAATACAAAATAGAATATGATATATATACATAAGATGTGAGACCTGGTGTATCTGTTCATTCCGGTTCCCTCAGACTGTGGCAGGCAGAGCCAAACTGTCCTGCAACAATGCAGCTCTCTTTATATTCCCCGAGAAGTATTTTTAGTTTTTCATTTTCATTTTTAAATATTTGAGGATGCTTATGGTTGAGTTTTGGGAAGAATTGTTTCCGTACCGGTTCAAAAGTTGGGCATTGTGTAAGGAAGTGCTGCTCTGTCTCCACAGCAGTTCCTCCTCCACACTGTTGGCATGATCGCTCCTCTTTTGGCAGCCATGTTTTCTTGTACCTGCCTGTTTCTATGGCCAGGCTGTGAGCACACAACTTCCTGTGTTTAACATCAGTCACTGTGGTCAGGTAGGTAGGCTGCCACAGTGTACTGTCTTTTTAGGGCCAGATAGCATTGCATTTTACTTTGTGTTTTTGTAGAGTAGAAATAACCTGATTACATTTTAAAGAATATTGCTGCATAGGTTAAATATTTAATCAAAGAAATATGATATAGCTATTTCTTCTAATTAACAACTGTGCTCACAATAATACCGAAAAAGCGTTTTTTTCATGCAACTAACTAATTATAACTACTAACCTGTTAGACCCCAAGCCTGTTGTTCAGGTCTCAGGCTCGAAAATGACATTTCTAGAACAAATGACCATAACTACACTTCTAAAAGGGGAAAATTAATAATATTTTTTCTCAAAGTAATGATAAACCAGTGAGTTGGATGTAGAAAAGTCAGAATCAATATAGATGTTTTTTATTTTAAAGAAAATTCAGATTGAACATAGTAAAAAACTGTAAATTATAGTGTCCGTCCAAAAATTCTTTTTTACTTATAGTGAAAACTACCCTTAGATGATGGGTTAGTTAGTAGACTAAAAGCTTTAGGTTTCCAAAGTACAACATATAACCTGTATCAAGATTGATGCAAAACAAGTGAAATTTGACCTTTTTAGAGAGATTTAGCAACAAAGAAACCCACTTCTGGGGTCATTTGGGTGGATTTTCCATATCTCTAGCCCCCCTTGGTCGATTTTGACGAATGAAATCTCTTTATAACCGCTAGAGCCAATGGAATCAAAGGTTTTTTTTTCACATAGACACCAAGGTTAACACAAAAAGGTGGGGGCTTTGCGCATGTAGTTTTGCATGAGAGTGAAGCTATCTCTCGCTCTGACATCTGGAAACGGAAAAGCAGGTTTTATTTATGGATTAACTTCAGCAGCGTTTTTATCATTTTAATGCCATTGAAGACCAGTTTTGACCAGACAACGACCAAGGTAGGCTATGTTAGCGTTTTTAGCTACCTAGCGCCACATGTTTTTATGTCTGTTTTTGTTTATAACGTCACGAGTGCTTATCATATAGTGATAATGTCTGTACCCATCAATTCTATGTCATCTCACGATGCGAATCGATGGGTTGGATGTGCAGAAAAGATAAATAATAAGGGTTTTATGCGTGATCTTCTGTGCAGTAATCTGTTAGCCTATTTTGCTCGTTGCTTTCAGTTAGCATTGTGGGTTTTAAAAAAAAAAGAAAAAAAAAAGATCAGTTAGCTGAGTTTCTTCCCGTTACATGGACATACAACATTAATAGTTTAAGCCCTCAGACACTTTTGCTTGCAGATGTTGTGATTTCGGCCCCTTCGGCGGGTCCGTGGGGTTTAAGAGGCTAATTATACAAATAAAATGCAAACAAATGAATAAATAGGTAAAATGCAAATACAATCCATAATCTTAGTGTGACTTTAAACTGTTGCTGGTAATTACTCACCACTTCCTCATATAAATATCAACCTATTTATTCTTAATTGAGATGGCAGGATCCTCTATGAAACATTCATCCTTCACATTTAAGCATGTTATCAAGTCTGAAAATCCAGTAAATCCACTGTTTGAAATGTGTATTGTCTTATAAGAGTCTGGGGTCACATCATTTGACATCATTTACTCAGTGTAATTCTAATGTAATTTAAAATATGTGATTTATTCTGATAATTACTAATAGATTAACACGAAAAGTCATCTTATTACCTTATCTTATCTCATCTAATAGAAATTGGACTACGAGGTGTTACTCAATTCTTCTGCAAAAAGGAAGATTTTTTTTTAAGAACGTGTCCTAAGTAATACAATATATTCATTTATGAGTCCCACAACTGGGAATGATGCTTTGTTGCAGCAGCAAATGGGCAATGCAACAACAAATAACAATGTATAGGTTAATTTAACAGTCACAAAATACCAACCATATGATATACAATATATTGCAAAGGATATGATATTGCACATGAAAAAAAAAAGATTTGTGAAATAATAAACATTTTCCTTAATGTAGCTACCTCTTATTATCTAATTAATTCCTCATCATGGATTTATAAAGGTCCTCATCTCTCAGCCCTGGAAGGTGAGGATAAGGTAGGAAAGAGACGAAACTGCCCTGAGGAAATCAGCCAATCAGCTGCGCCCCTGCCCCCCTCCTCACTGCTGATTGGCTGACTCGTGGAGGAAGATGTTGGGACAGCAAAGATGTCCGCGCTCATTTGAAAACCTGCGGTAGCCAAATCCAGAGTTTGGCACCTGATTCATGTTTTTTTTATGTTGACACCGTTCACGACGTTGTGCTGACGCAAGACTTAAACACAGGAAACATAAAGGACTCCACGACAAGAGCCAGACTATTCCGTACTATCAGGTAAAGCAGCTAAAACTCTATGCTAGCTGAAGCTAATGTTAGCTAGCGTGCTAATAGAGAAAAAACAATGGCACTCTATGGGGGTTTAGCATTAGCATGCTAATGCTGGAGAGTACCTCGGAGCTAGCTTCTTACTCACAGCTGTCAACACCTTTTTTGACATAACGTACTGCAAGTGGGCTGTCAAGTACTGTGTTTTATGTTGTTGTTTATATTGGTTTAAGAACCTACAGCTAGCTACGACAATGTAGCGCCTTTCAAAATCAATAGAACAGAATAAATCATATTGAAAGTAGTTATTAAGCATTTGTAAGTCTTTTTGTACCGTTACTGTCTACTTACAATATAATTAAATGCATTGACTCACTTTACATAAAGCTTACTTAGTTTTTGTACTGATATGGCAATGAAGAAATAAAGCCACAGCTAACGTAATTAAACAACACAAAAAGCCAATAGTTGAATCTGCCCATTATGATAAAGTTGGCGTGATGAATATATTAATTCTTAGTTATTAATTCTTAAAATAAAATGCATTTGTTTATACTGACTGGAAACACCATAACCACCTCAATTACAATCAGAAACATTGGTACCATAACAGACAACTGCTGTCTAAGTTTGCCTTTTTATTTTCTGAATTCATAGCTATTTTTGTTGGGACATGTTTTGTTTTATTTTACTTTCAAGTTATCTGATTTTCTAGCTAAATTAAAATCAAGCTGTCACTCACTCATATCATTTACTAGTCTGTCTATTAAACCTTTTGAACAATAGCATTATAATAAGTCAGTACAGTTTTGCCAATAATAATAGTTTTTATAACACTGGGTATAGGTATGACTTTGCAAAAGAAGGACTCCATATTTTCTCTCAACTCTCTTGGTGCTTATTTGTAAAACATTTTCCTTTTACCTTTCCATCCATTCTTTCCAGAAATAATGCTGATATCTGGAACTCATGTCGGAAGTCGTGTATGAAGAGACAGCCACGATGATCGCAGCAGGGGAATTGCAGTCGTTTGTCCCGTTCGGCCGCGAGCACTGCAGGAACCATCCAAACGCCTTCAACCTGCAGCTCAGAGAGCTCCAGCCTGCCTCCGAGCTCTGGTCGTCAGATGGCGCCGCCGGCCTGGTCGGGTCGCTGCAGGAAGTCAGTCTGCAGGAGAGAGAGAGGGTGAGACTGCATGGAATTGTTCTTTACATATAAATGTATATATTTGTTAGAAAATATCACTAGTGACTGGATTGAGCTTCAATAACAGGATACATGTATTTATTAATCCTCTCAATAATGGAAGTAGTCATCACATACAGAGCATTTGGTACAACTAGTTCCTAAACAGTGTCCTTCAGATGCTTATATACTAGTGATCTATGTTTTACATATGATGTTATTATTGATGTGTTAAATGCCTCAAGTAAGGGTTTTTACAACAGTAAGAAAAAGGACCATAGTATTAAACCTGGATGGAATGAACATGTGTCTGAGCTACACACTGCTGCTAGAGATGCTTTTAAATTGTGGGCAGAATCAGGTAGGCCGAGACAGGGGTCTTTGTTTGTACATAAACAGGCCACTAATGCCAAATATAAGTATGCTGTCTGCTTCATTAAAAAAAACGAGGACACAATGAGGGCTGACTCACTTGCCAGAAAGCTGCGCAACAATAGTTGCTATGATTTCTGGAAAGAGGTCAAAGTCATAAACAGCTGTAAGACTCCCTTCCATTGAAGGAGTGTGTGGGTCAGACAACATTGCAGAACTGTGGCGACAACACTATTATGAGTTGTTCAACTGTGTTAAGAGTGATGCATTTGTGGTTGAAAAGGTTGACTCCACTGAACATGTTACAGTTAGATCAGAGGAAGTCTTCAACACTATAATGAATCTAGAAAATAACAAAGCTTGTGGCCCGGATCTCATCTCAGCTGAACACTTAAAACATGCCAGTCTTAAGCTTGCTCCTCTTCTTGCTCTGTGTCTTACTGGTTTCTTTAATCATGGTGTCTTACCAGATTCCATGTTATCTGTGCTACTTGTGCCAGTCATCAAGGATACAGCTGGGAAGATTAATGGCATTGATAATTACAGACCCATTGCTTTAGCTAGCATTCTCTCCAAAGTGTTGGAGAAAATTCTGTTGGATAGGCTGGAAAGGTATATGACCACAGCTGACAACCAGTTCGGTTTGAAAAGAAAACACGGCACAGATATGTGTATTTTTGCTTTAAAAGACATTATAGCAAAATATAGAAGCCATAATTCCACCATGTTTCTGTGTTTTATTGATGCTTCCAAGGCATTTGATCGACTGAATCATTTCAAATTATTTGACAAAATGTGCCAGAGAGGGATACCCAAGTACATAATAAGGATCTTAGCCTTCTGGTATGCACATCAGACTATGCAGGTGAAGTGGGGCAATACTGTGTCTGAACATGTTTATGTTGGTAATGGGGTCAAGCAAGGTGGGATTTGATCTCCTTTGTTGTTTAATCTGTACCTGGACGATCTGTCGAGGAAACTGAACTTGTGTAAAACTGGCTGTGTCATCGGAGCTACTGTTGTCAACCACCTTATGTACGCAGATTATTTAATCATCTTTTCCCCATGCAGTGCTGGCTTACAACAGCTCCTGAGGACTTGTTCCCAGTATGGCATTGATTTTAATATTAAGTATAACGCCAAGAAGAGTAGCATCATGATTGTGCGAAGTAAAGAGGATAAAAAGGCTGTATTTCCTAATTGTATTCTCAGTAGCAACATTCTACTTGTGTGCAGTGAGATGAAGTACCTTGGTCATTATATCTCTGATGATCTCACAGATGACAAATACATCCATAGACAGCGCTGCAAACTGTATGCCCAGGCACACATATTAATGCGGAAATTTCACAAGTGCTCTGTAGATGTCAAGGTATCACTTTTTAAAGCTTTCTGTACACCATTGTACACGGCTCACCTGTGGAGTAACTACAAGGCTCACCTGTGGAGTAACTACAAGGCTAGAAGCATACACAAACTAAAAGTTGCATACAATGATGCTTTACAGTTGCTGCTGAGGGTACCAAGATGGCACAGTGCCTGCCAGCTGTTTGTTAACTTGGGGGTACCTACCTGTCAAGCCCTTTTAAGAAAGTTAATGTACAAATGTATGTGTCGCCTAGAAGACTCTGACAATCATGTTATCTCGATTTTAATTAACCCTGTGAAGAGTTCTACTCGGTTCTCTTCCATGATTTGGAGACATTGGCGCAATAGCCTCTACAGACAGTGAGCATGTGTGGCTCGCTGTGATTGGACTGATTTTATGTTTTTATCTGTTGGTTTTGTGTTTAGCTTTTTAATCTTATTTATTGATGTGTATCTTGTCATTTTGTATGTGATATGGACCTTGAGTCTGAAATAAAGATTGAATGAATATACAAGAGAGGGAGTTACACAGTCACAAGATGGAGGAATACCGGTTCAAAGAAGTATACAATGTTTAGTTCAGATTAGACCCACGTCAGAAATGATTCGCTTGTCATATGTCTATCTCCACCATTTGTTATCATGTGCTACTCTGATATTGGAAGAGTACATTCAGTATTCTCCCAACAATATTATATATAGCTTTATTTGTTTTTGATTCCATCCTTGTCATGTAGATGTAATACATATGTTATTGGCAGGAATGCTGGCAGCTTAGGAAGGGCTGCAAGGGAATCAGGGAGGAAGATGTGGAGTTTGAAGAGGAGCTCTACACAGCAGGAACTGTGGTCGTCTGGAGCCAGGGCAGCCGGACACAAGCCTCCAACGTCTATAAGGCCTTCACTGTCGACAGCCCGGTGCAGCAGGTTGGTTACTGAAAGCTGGTTTTAGATAGTATTCAAAGCGATACCCTTATCTTACTTATAAGTAGATCCAAGAAACTGTTTATTTCTGTCGGGAAAGTTTTCCTTTTGACCGATTCCATTAACAGTTTTTGTGACTCACTGGAAAATGCTGATGGCAATTAAGATGTTGGTTACATTTCATTCAGGTAAAACAAGATTTTGATCAAAATACAATGAGAAGTAAAAGTGTGTGAATGAGATTGAAAGAATTGTGGTTTTTTGTATACATGCATATTAGGGCTGTACTCGAATATCTACTATTCGGGTTTCAATTTCGTTATTTGGATATTCTTTTTTTTGGCAGCCGTGCTGCACTGCGGCTGACAAATAGATTTTTATTAAAATCTCCAATATCAACGTAAGAGCTTGTGTCTCTTCGGGGGGTGCTAACACTTAACCATAAACTTTATCGTTTACTTTTTCCGTCTTTATATGTAGATATTACTTTTCTCCGTTAATCTCCATCACGTTGTTTCCATAGCAACAACAACTTCCTGTCAACAGCGCTAACTCTCCTTCAAAATAAAAGCATGTCCATACAAAATAGGAAGCCAAGCCAAATTACACTTAAGACATACACAACTGCAACGAAAGTAACAAACACAATGCAATTAGGGATGCATATCGTTGACTTTTTTACGATACCGATACCGATACCACTGAACGATACCGATACTCAACCGATACATATCGTGATACTTTGAAAATGTATCATCCCACAATTACTCCCATGAAGCGCTTTACGATATAGTTAACATGTCAAATGAATATTAAATTCAATTGTGGGACTTCTTGGACCTTTTAGTTCTGAACAAACAATAAAAAATACATAAATAATATGAAGAAAACCGATTATGGGATATCTTTTATAACACCCGCCATCAGGTGTGCCGCGTGAATAGCACATCTTGTCAATGCAAACAGACCGTTATAGCACCGTTATAATTAATGTTAAACCTGAGATTCGACTAGAGAACAAATACATAATAGAATAATGGTCATGAGATCACAACAAATCTCATCTTTAAAATCAACATTTACCTTCACTGGTGAGAGAAAACAAATCCCATCACAGTCCTTTTTATGGGACTTTTACCTTTCTAGTATTGAACAAACAATGAAAAATAAATAAAATATGAAGAAAAACGATTATGCAATCTAATTTATAACACCCGCCATCACGGGCCACGGACTCACTTTTAAAATTAATTTAAAAAAAAGTTTTTTGTTTTTTTTTAAAGTATCGAAACCGGATCTGATTTCGGTTCGGTATACCGTAGCCACCAGTAACCGGTATTTCGGTAATACCGGATACCGGTATGCATCCCTAAATGCAATATCCTTTTCAATTTCAAAGAACACAAATTGTGTTGTATACATTAACAAATAACTATAAAACAACAATACTGTAGAATATCAAAATGAATGCCGTGAATAAACCGAAATACACGTGTTGAAGCGGTTCGCTGCTGTTTACTACGCGGAGCCCGAAAAATGGTATTCGGGACAGCCCTAATGCATATATATATATATATATGTTAGCAAAATATTTAAACTAGTTTGTATTCTCTCTACAGGCCTTATGGTGTACATTTGCTGTTCCTCAGAACAAGAAAGATGGTAATTAATCATTAAAAATCTTTTGTTGTTCAAAAGAGAATAGTTGTTTTAATGTATCTGTTAAATTCAATCGCAGTTCATTTGAATTTAATAAATAAGATGCACCATCCTGATGTTGTTTTGCAGAAGAGGAAGTGGAGCAGACAGTCTGTATCGTCCAGAGTAGCTGTGTCAACGTGCACACCATAACTGGGAAGGATTTCATCTCACCACTACCTTTCCAGGTGAGTTGGAGAGAAATGTTTGTTATACATTCTTTAAAGGTGTGTGTGTGTGTCATCCCTGCTTGTGTTTGTATACATGCTGAATAGAATTGAGTGTGTGTTTGTCCACTTGCAAATATGTTCTGATAATCCAACATGTGTTTGTGTGAGTGTGCGCATGTGTGTTTAATGGTTATGTCTCTGTGAGTATGAGTTTGTTCCGGTCTCAATAGTCTGTTGCACAGCAACAAGATATCATTTGATTCATGGATGTATTTTTACCAGTTAGTTGCAGAAATAGTGTTTGTGGCCAGCTCGGAGGAAATCATGTTTCCTTAGTTTTCTTTTGTATTAGTTTTTTCTGTACGTAAAAATAAAGCTTAATGTTGTCTTTATTACTTACAAACATTACAATTGTTTGCACACATTTCTTCCCTGACTATCCCCTCCTTTCTCCTCCAGGTGTCAAATGTCTGGGCGACAAAGTTTGGACTTTTGTTAGAACGAAAAAACACAGCGACAGACTCACAACTCCCCGGGTACACACCATACACTCTGACACACGTAGACACACATCTGTGTCACACAGACAAATCTCAAAAACCTGAACAGATTTGTTTACATTAAAGACATTCTCCTTGGTTTGAAGGGTGACAGAATAACTGAGCCCGTTTTCTCTCTACAGGGAATCTCTCCCCACAGTCTTCAGCATGCTGCATCCTCTCGACGAGATTGCACCAATAGTGTGTAAACCTGCAGGTATGACAAAAACACACATTCCTCTCCCGCTCTCGCTTTCTCTTTCTCTTAATCTGTTTCGCATATAATCACTATCAGGTCTGCACATTGTCCGGAGTTTCCCTTTCATGCATGAGGCTCTTCAATGTCTGTGTCAGAGGTTTTCTATTCTTCAAGTTGAAATACGTTTTGTTTCAGGTGTGTTTGAAAGCTCCCGTGTGCAGTATGCATCGGATGCCACCATGAAGATAGTGTTCAGCTGCTGCCAGCCCTCTATAGTTGTCTCCTATGACACTGTACAGGGAATACACTCTGTCTGGGCCCTGCGCAAAGTCACACAGGATGTGAGTGATCACACAGACACACCTGCAAAATCCCACAGTGAGTCTACCTGTGTCTAACCTTGAGCCTATCACCTCCATCAGGAGCGATTTTCAGTCCTGCGGTGTACAGCAGATCCGGTTGGCACTCCTTTGTGTCTGAAGGCATCGGGCTTACTGACCTCTCACCTCCGTAATATCTCACGCCTGGACTCCCCCGGAGGCAGTGGGGCAACCGGGCTCGGCCCAGAAAAGTATACAAGGTATACGCTTTAATATGTGAGGCGTCTGGCTTTGTTATGTCTATTTATTTATTTTATATTTAACTTTCATGTTAGGAATGTTTCACAGAGACAAGGTCTGTTTTTAAAAACAAAACATGGCAAAGTTAGCAGTAATGTCAATCAGCGGTTTAATTCAAATGCACACAGGGACGTTCAAACATGAAGAATAAGCACAACAACTAAGACCATCTCTGATCCCATCCTTAATTTTCTGCTCTTAGTTGTGCCATTGCCACCTCTCCTCTCCACTACAGCGCTCTGCACAGCCACCCGAGCAGAATCTTGACGTCTTCACCAGGGATACACCCCCGGGTTCATTCCCCGAGTATATCCAACATGGCTGCCCTCAGGTGAGTTGGACTTTGGGGAAGCTCGTAACAAGACTTAAGGGCCTGATTCAAAAATTGCCTTAAGAACATTGAATGTAAAAGCTAAACAAGCCTTATTAGCACAACTGTTAGGAGATCAAAATGAGTAAGTCAGTATGGACATAGGAGTATTGTTTTTAAATGCCATTATATGCATCAGACAAATCTTAAAAGGATGCATTTTTTTCTTTAATAATCGACTCTATTGCAGACTATACAAATTTGCTTCAACGCCTTCTGCAATTCGCAGAATCTTGTGCATGTTCTGATTGTACATAACAGGATACAGGAAACAATATGCTCTTCAACACCACTAGTTGTCAAGATAATGTCCTTTTTCTCCTCCTCCATCTTTTCATGGCAGCCGGGCCCATCCTCCAGGCATGGCGACTCCATCCTTTTCTGGTGCGGCTCGTTTCAACACGTCCTTCCACAGCCAGTCCCCCAGGGGGCACCACGGCCTGCTGCCCTCTGCCAACAGCACGGTCAACGAGACGCTGCTGGTGCCGGAGATGGAGCCCATCTTGCCCGACCTGTGCATCGAGCAGCTGTGGAGCGAGACCGTCACAGCTGGTTGTTACAGGTAATGACCAGGACCGAACCCTCATGGAACTGATGACATGTCTGTGCAGACACATGTTCAATTTAATGACAATTATGAAGAGATTTATGATAATGTTCTTCTAAGTGATGGCTTTTATTCATGCGAGTTCAGGACCAGGCTACTTAGCTTTTTCAGCTTTTCTTAGTTATTTTAGCAACACAAATTTGAGGTATATATGTTTATTAAGGCACATAGCTTTTAGGACTTACAAGTTAACACCAGAAAATGTTTACCATTTATCATATACGGCATCCTCATCAGAAAAACAGATGTGTTCCCTTGTTGTTCTTCGTCAGATACATCATTTAATAAGATTATAATGGATTTCTTTTTACAGTTATTTCAGTTCAGCTTTAATTGGGTACTCCTTGTATTCTTGATTTGGTAGCACTCAGGTTAAGTGAATTATTTTAACACAATTAACCCTTTTTCCCACTCTAAATAAGATGTCCGAAATCGTTGCTGGGATTTTTGTTGACATATAAATGACAGTGAAAAAAAGAGCATCATATCTTGAAGAGTTCTTTAGCATTTTTACCATCAAAGTTGTTCAGATAGAAAATCACAGAAGGGAGCTCCTCACAGCAGGGATATATTTATTTGATATTGTTTGTTTAACTGTTTTTTGTTGCTGATCTTGTTTCACACATATCTTCTTTGTTTGTGTTTGCAGGGAGATGAGCAGCCAGGCATCTAAAGTATTTCTGACCTCTGACCTCTGTGAGAACCACTACCTCTGTTTCCTGGTGGAGTCTCACCAGCAGCTCAGGTAATACACACACCACACACACACACACACACACACACACACACACACACACACACACACACACACACACACACACACACACACACACACACACACACACACACACACACACACACACACACACCACACACACACACACACACACATATATAAAGTCTCAAAGGATCTCAATCTTAGGAACTATGACAGTAAAAGTAATAAATAGAGATCTCTTATGTAGAACGTCAGGCAAATACATTTAAATCTATTGGATATCCTGAATGCCATCCCTCCACATTATTCTCTTCTTCATTCTTTCCACAGATGTGTGAAGTTTTTTGAAAGCAACAATTCGTCTCAGCTGATCTTCACATCTGTCACGACGATCCCTGCCAAAGACGCAGAGCCTCTGCAGGTACAGTACAATATCTGAGCTTCACAATATTTACAGAGAATAGGAAAATGTAAGTGGCAATACTTTCTCAAAGCAATACCCATACAAAAACCGGTCAATTCAGTAACTAAGTATTTTTTTCCCAAATAAATAATACAATGCCCAGTAAAGACAGATGTAAAGTATGTGATTGTACCCATTGTGTACACTTAGGTACTCATGTATAATCAAATGCAGTCCAGTTAAACTATTCTGCTGTAATATTCAGTATTAGGCTGTCTTTATTTTACTATAATTAGTGTAAGCATTAAATTGGATTGGAGAGACATAAAACATAGCTCGTAATGTAATCCATTACAACACTTTAAAGGTCACCTATCATGCTATTTTTAGGCAATAGCATAGGTCTCAGATATATAAAAATATATTAAAAACATGTCTATGAAGTGTTTTGCTCAAAATACTAAACAGATCACCCATTCTAGCCATGCCTCATATCCCTCTATTTCACTTCCTGTTTCAAAAGTGCTGATTTTAAATTGATATAAAAAAAAGGAGGGGTCTGAGCTCATGCGGGACCCGGCAGCTACTGTCTAAACTAAATACTGCCGTGATGAAACGCCATATCATGGATTATCAAGGATTCTTTCTGAAACAGTATGGAGCTCAAAGGCTTTCTCTCTTGCCGGTTACACCACAAGGTGAGTTCCTTTTTATTTCCTGCTTCTTCACACACATGCTCTCCAGTACAGGTTAGCTCTGAGTGTTAGCGATGCTAATGTGAACATGCACCGACCACATTACGTCCAAAACATTCGGGCATTGTTTCTGATAGCAGAGTTTCTGATAGGGACGTGGGTGTAAAGCCAGCCTACATTTCCGATATTACGTCATATCGGCCGCAAATGTGGATCAGCTCCGTTGTAGCCCTGTTTTTAGAGATTTGGGTACGGAGGAAAAGAGAGAGGGTTTTATTAATTTGAGCAGTTTTAGTTTATCTGGAAATTATTTGTAGCACATTAGTTTTATTTAAAGTTAATTAGATAATTACTTCTGAGGTAGTATTGTGCTGCAAATAGAGTATTGATCATAAACTGGAAAGAATACAAAACATGAATACTAGGTCTCATTATGTGTCTAAATTAAGACGTGCAACAGGCAAACGATAATTCTGAGAAGATTAACTCCACAACGTTTTTTAACCTTGACAGATAATCACATTTTAGACAGCACATTGAAACTAATCTCCTGAATAACTAATCAAGTATTTTATAAGCTACTGTAACAATGTGAAGGGCAGCATTAAAAACACAACAGTGAGTGAGTGAACTCTCAGTTAAACATTTGTTATGAATATGGTGGTATGTGTTGACATTTCCTATTATTGGTTGATCATATTACTGATTTAAGTAATATGATATAAGTGTTTCTTTAAAAGTGAATGTAAAAGGTTGATTGATTCTAGCTTCTCTGTGATTATTTACTGCTTACTCTTTAAGGAAAGTCAACTTAAAGGGGACCTATCATGCAAAATGCACTTTTTGATGTCTTTTATACATAAAGATGTGTCCCCGGTGTGTCGGGGAACTCACGCAGTGTCAGAAAATAAAACCCTCTCTCTTTTCCTCCGTAAATCTCTAAAAACGGGGCTACAACGGAGCTGATCCAGATTTGCGTCCGATATGACGTAATATCGGAAATGTGGACCCACGGCCCAATCAGAAAGTTGCTATCAGAAACAATGCCCGACTGTTTTGGACGTAATATGGTCGGTGTTTACATTAGCATCGCTAACACTCAGAGCTAACCTGTACTGGAGAGCATGTGTTAGAAGAAGCAGGAAATAAAAAGGAACTCACCTTGTGGTATATCCGACAAGAGAGAAAGCCTTTGAGCTCCAGACTGTTTCAGAGATAATCCTTGGTAATCCATGATATGGCGTTTCATCACGGCAGTATTTAGTTTAGACAGTAGCTGCCGGGTCCCGCATGAGCTCGGCCCCCTCCTTTGTTTTTATCAAATTTTTTTTTTTTTTAAAGCTTTATACCCAAAATCAGCACTTTAGAAACAGGAAGTGAAATAGAGGGATATGAGACATGGCTAGAATGGGTGATCTGTTTGCTATTTTGAGCAAAACAGTTCATAGACATGTTTTTTATATATTTGTATATATCTGAGACCTATGCTATTGTCTAAAAATAGCATGATAGGTGACCTTTAAATATTTTTAGGTATTGAACATCTGGACTGACAAAACAAGCATTTAAATATCTTAATTTTGTCTTTGAGTAGCCTAAGTGACTTAAATGAACATTTTTGACACAAAAAATCTTTGCTCCTCAGAATATCGATGCCATGCTGGTGCTGGAGGCCTGTGGCAGTCTGGTTCTCTACACAGGAATCACCAGGGTGAGAAATATCAAAACACAGACACATCATCATGTTTAAAAGGAAAACATTTAATATGGCTTTTCATTTGTTCAATTCTCACTAGTATCATTGTCCATGTTTTAATTTAATTTTTTTAATTTTTTAATTTTAACTTATTTTTATTTCTTGTCAGCTTTAATTCAAGGGAATTTCATTAGGATCGCTGTAGATGTTTTATCTTGTTCTGTATTTATTTTAATATTGTTGTTATGTTTTCTGTAAAGCACTTTGGGCTGCTTTGTGCATGAAAGGTACTATATATTTTTTATTATTTCATAACTTTTCTTTTTAAACTTTAATACTTTTGAATGCATGTAACATATGTAAAATTAAGCTGTCTGTGGCTCTTTTTCTGCTGTATCTACGTACATTTCCCCTTGTTGGAGTAGATATCTCTGCTCCGCGCCGATCCTATATGAGTTTGCTTTAAAAGAAGGAAAACTCAAAACAACCAGGACGAGGGTTAAACAATAATCTGTTTTTAATAATAAACGGTAATAATACAATGCACTTCTCAAAGGGGTCAGGCCTCCCCCTGCTCTGGTCCTAATGCCGGGAGAACTTATCATCTTGACGGCAGCAGGAAAGAGACCGGACACAAGGCCGAACAGGCTTACATACAAGAATAAAACAGGAGGAGTTGGGTCAGCTGGTCATCTTTTCAGGTCATCTCATTGGGAGATGCAAAAGATGCTGTGTCGCAGCGAATCAGCTCGTGCCAGCAGAGGTCCCGCAAACAGTCTCAGTTTGAAGCAAAACAAACACATATAGCATTCGCTGTCTCATATTTCTGCAGCCTCCACACACACAGCCCCCCACATTCCAGAGACCTCAGTTGTGTCTAAAGAATATTCCCTTGCTCACAAAGATATACTGCTTATTATTAATACAAAGTAATTAAACACACACATCTCTATCATTAACAGAAGTTAATTGTTCCTTTTAGCTTAAGGGCTTCTGTGAACTTCCTTTCACCTCGAAGTCCGCGTTTACTGGAATGAATGCATTCATTGACAATTCAGACTGACTATTGTCTTGTTAACTGTGTGACTCAATTCTCAAGGCCTGCAGGATGCGCATTATTAACTTAGGAAGAATGTAACCATTATATCTGGGGAAAATGTCCCTTGTAGACTATTGATAATTAACAGAGAAACTCAAGGGGCCTCTTTTAATATCTCGAAATTGCAACAAGACTTTCTGCCATTTCAAATGTAATACACCTCTTAAATATCAGATGATAATAATCTTCACCCTCTGTGGGACTAATAAAGGGATTCTGAAACAAATAAAGTTTATTATTATTAATTAGGGATGCTCCGATCGCACATTTTGGGGCCGATCGCCGGAATCAGTATTGTCCGATACCGATCCGATCGAGTGGGCGGGGCCTATGGGGATCTTCCATTTAAAGTGATGTTTAAAACTCAGTTAATGGGGCTCATTCACTGGCGCTTCCACAAACAACCAACATAATTATTACATTCAAATGAAGTACATTATTCAAGTTTACATTAACTTTGGATAATAACACGGGAGAAATGAGCGGAAGTGCTCTCTTTTCCTCTCTCCCTCTCCCCCTCTCTCCCCCTCTCTCCTGACAGCCTGTCAGTATCGTCTCATGCAGCTCACTGATCCAGTAATGAGTGACCCGACAACTAGTTTAGCTTGTTCCAGAGGTAGATAAAATAGCAAAGTGTGTCTAACTTGAAGTGTGTGTTTTGCGCCGCTCACCAGTCCGTCACAGCGGGTATGTGTGGTATATGCTGTATATATACAGCATAGACTGTATATATACAGTCTATGATTTTACGCCATGTGATTGGCTCTCCTGATCGGCCGAGAGTGAATATCGGCCGATAACGATCGGCGGCTGATCGATCGGAGCATCCCTAATTATTATTATTATTATTATTATTAATAACAGTTAAATACACCAGGTTTAACATACTTTAGATACAAAATTCAAGGACATTTCTGCTTATTGAAGTGAATGCATGTGTATTATTAAATATATAACCTTCCTGTGTTGCTGTCCTTTAGGTCAGTAAGGTGTTCGTCCCCGGCCTCCTGTCGCCCACCTTCAGCCTGACCAACCACGTGTCTCACTTCAGCTCAGCGATGGAGAAAGTTAGCACGCCGGCTAATGCTGGTAGCAGGCACCTCCAAAGACTGGATGAGGTATTATGTCTTGTAAACAAAGTGATCTTTAAACTATATGTTTATTCATTTTTCATTCTTTTAAACAACATAGTTACAAGACACGCCATACCTTACACAAACTTACATAAAACATTTGAAAAACAGAGGCAGTGTTTCCCCTACCATTGTCTTGGCGGGGCGCTGCGCCCTGCCAACGGAGCCCCGCGCCCTGCCTGAAATTCAAGGTATTTTTAAAAAGAAATATATATAGCACCAAATTGCAACTGAAGTAATCTATCTACGGTCACTTTTCACATTGAACATGTGCTCTTTTATTAAATAAAGTAAACTAAACGCCTATGTTATTTATCCAATGTATGTGCATGTTTCAGTGTCCACTGCTTTGCGTATTCACATTCTCCCTCCGCTCTGTTTCTGAAGGGCGGGGCCCCCCCCCCCCCCCACACACACTTGAATGCACACATGAATGCACACACTCACAATCAGAGACAAGAGCGGAGGAAAGGAGGAGAACAAAGTCTAAAAAAGTCAAACAAATCTGCATTATTGCCCCGAGCTCTGCTGTCTGCTCGTTTGTCCCCCCCCCAGTTTCAAATTTGTTTATTATTATTTTTTAACCGCAAGCCGTTATCGTCACGGGAGAAGGACACACACAGCCTGCCCAGGTGGACGCGCGCGAACGCGCCAACGAACGTAGCATGCGCATTCTAAAAATAGCTCACAGATAGTGAGCAGGTACCGCGGTCTTGAACTACAGTATTGAATTTGACAGAAAGCAACAATGAAACGCCAGCAGAAGAATAGTCTAATGAGTTGGGTGAAAAAAAAGACAGGAGATGTGAGTTGGTTTATTCAGTAAATTAGCTCAGGATAATTGGATGTTCTGTCTACACCTGTTGATGCCTCTTAAAATGTATCGTCAGCAATGTATGACAAGCAGACTGCTTGTTTAATGTTAGACTCACACCAATAGCTCAATATGATCATAACACGATTGCTTTCATATCAGAGATCAGATGAGGTGGAGCTGCCTCCAGCAATAGAGGATGAGGCAGAGAGAAGCAGCAGCAGCACAGGGTTGCAGCAGGTATGTTATATGCTGTAGTCAGGTGATTTAAATGTATCAATGAAAGGAAGAAGTGTAGGCTACATGATAAGAAGGGAATACAGTTTGAATAAAAGTAATACAGTACAGTGTAACACTGTACTTTATTACTTTTTAATGTACAAATACTTTGTTACTGTACGATATCAATAACAATAATCCACAGCTCCTCGCTCTGCTCCAGAGGATAAAAAAAATTCGGGTGCCCCGAAATGTTTTACCCGGGCACCCGGGCAGCACCCTGCCAAGGCAGTAAACCAGCAAAAACAGCAATTACTCATTTCAGGTGATCTTTAAGCTTTGGTAGCTTAAATTATTTGATTATTTTTGTAATATTTCATTTTTATAGGTAACATACTTAAAGGTGGGGTATGTACGTTTCAGAAACCGGCTCGAGTGCACTAAAATGTGAAAGTACACAGCCGAAAAGAATCCGCCCCTTCCTTCAGACTTCCTTACAGAGCCCCTCCTCCAACACACATGAACGCGCATGACGTCAGCAGACTGGTGAAAGTGGCCGCCTGTTGCTGGCGAGTCATTGAAGTACTGCTGCAATGCACGCCCAATGACGGCACGCCCAATGACGGCACGCCCAATGACGGCACGCCCAATGACGGCACGCCCAATGACGGCACGAGATACATTTGTGCGTGCACGAGATGGAAGGCTGACAGACAGGGCGGCAATCCAATCCGTTTAGCCGGGCCGGCTAAACGGATTGGATTGCCGCCTTGGTTGTACTTTTTACAGTATTACAGCTTCCACAGATGACATTTTTGTATGGATTTTTTGTCAAAGCACTTCAGATATTCATTGCTATCGGGATGTTAAGAGCATTCCATGGAATATAACAACAAGTGTATCTGGAGCCGGTTTCTCAAACTTACCTACCCCACCTTTAATTGCAATTCAATCTTGTACCTTCTCATAAACAATTTCCACAGAGCAAGGCAATCTGTCCCAGTCAGCATGGTGGCCTGATTTGGTTTCCTGTTATATCATTATTCAATTTTTCTGCTTGAAATATTCAAAGATAATATCAAAACAAATTATACCGTATAAACTGTATCGCCACACCAATGTCCTTTTTGTTTATGATCTATTCCTTCTGTTATTTCCTTCTGTTTCCCTTTTTCTCTCTACTTCTTCTTCACCTATTTGTTTTCAGGGCATCATGCCGTCACCAGTGTCTGAGCTGAGGGGTCCAAACATTAAACACCACGAAGGTTCATTTTTGGATGATTACAATTTCCAACATACCACGCCCTACATCCATGCGCTGCGGGACCCCGTCTGCAACCGGGTCACTTTGGTGAGTTTGTGTATATAATTCATTTGGACACCATTATAGTGTTCAAGATCACATTTGCCCTTAACCCTTATGCAGAGTTGGGTGTAATAATATTACTTTAGTCGGTAACGGAGTAATGTAACGCGTTATAATTCAGTAATCACACTACAGTTAGTAACATTGCCTGACACGCGTTACTTCGTTACTTTTATACAATCAGTAATCACACACTACAGTTAGCCTACTAACATAAAGAATTACTAGATTCTCCCTTTGACAGACAAGAGGGATTTCCGTCGCAGGTTTTATATTTACGCAACGTCCGAAGAAAGGACAGGAATGTGACGGTGAGGTGCAAACTGTGTCCAGGCCAGAAGCTTTTATTCACTGCTGCAAACACAACGTCAAACCTCAACAAGCACCTGCAAAGACAACATGCTAACGTGAAGCTAATAGCTAAGGAGGACCTCCGAATCCAGGAGGAGGTCGAGTTAAGTAACGTGTAAACAGCAAACAAAGTTATATGCAGGGCTTCACATAACTGGTGCGCAGAAAATAGAGGAGAGATGAGAGAGAGAGAAGAGAGAGAGAAAGATATTTGCGAGTTGCATACATGTATGAACCATGATATGAACTCAGGGCCGGCCCGTAGCTCTGGCTAGATGTTCGCCTAGGGCGCCAGATCTGGGGAGGCGCTGCGCTGGCAGTTCTGGGAGGGAAAAAAAACATTTTGACCGTTGGGGCTCATCCTAATTTTCGGCCTTGATGTAACAATATTTATAATTAAGTAAATGTAACACCCTTTTCACCCCGGTTACACGTTTCATTTGCCCTGTACGATGGGCGCTGTAAGTGATGAAAATGGGGGATGTTGGCTTATCTGGCGCCCGCAGCTCACAGCCAAAATGCGAGGGAGAGAGGGAGGGTGGTACCAGCGCTGTTGTTATTAGAATCTGGTGCCGTGCTAGCTGCTCTAACGGATATAAGAAGAAGATGTTTCTACAATAATGTGGAGGGAGAGTCCTCTCCAGTCAGACTGATAACTACAGCTCAGTGAGGTAAAGGACTCTGAGTGTTTAGATAGTTCACTTTAGTCTAAGTTCAAACGGTTTGGTCGCAATTTATGTAAACACATATTTCCAAGGCACTCCTTTATAATTATTGGGATAAACAGGTGGAGAGATAAAAAAAAATGCATAAATAAATGTTAAGGTAAAATAAGATATGAATGAACAACACAAATAAAATAAGTTACATTAATTTGTTATTGGCTATGGTAGGTTATTGGTTATGTTCACATACTTATTTGATTACATCCACTTGTCTAAGATGACAACAGAGACTTTCGACCCAAACCCAGCTGTTGACTTGTGGATGCAAGCAGCTAATCGCAGACTCAACCAGAGAGGAAGTAGTAGGCCTACATCATCAGCTACCATGTCTGACAGAGAGGAAGACAGTGAGGAGAACAGTCAGGAGGGTAGTGATGACAGCTTGTAGGATTACTGGTCGTGCTAATGTTGTCTTGTGTTCACCTCTGCATGTGTGTTCTGTGTTCACCTCTGCATGTGTGTTCTGTGTTCACCTCACGTGTGTTCAGTGCCGTGTGTCTGGCAAATAAAGTCAAGACCCCCTCAAAAGTTACGGTTTATTTCATTTTAAGGATGAGCACCAAGCAACATCTCCAGGTGCTCCTTTGAGAACCAGGGCAAAAAAGTGATGTGCACCCCTGGTTATATGATCAGGCCCTCTATGAGCGTCGACGGGGGGACGGGGAGTGGTGCTAGTGGAGCCAGCTTCAGATGAGGCTCCCTCCGCAAAATGAAGCACCCTCCGCAGTCTGCATGATCTGCCTGTAGATAGGGGCGTCCCTACGAGTAAAGTAACGAGTAAAGTAACGAGTAACCGCGTTACGTTATGTAGAGAGTAACGAAGTAAAGTAATATATTACTTTTTTTGAGTAACGACCCCATCTCTGCCCGTATGTTGTGGTCGGGTCTCCCGTGACCCGTTTCAAGTTAAAATGATATAATAACTACGCTCTAGTTTTCTCCACAACAGCTGTCTAAACACTACAAAACAGATTTTGACAATTTTAGCCAAGTCTGAAGGTCTCTAAAAAGAAAAGTGTGTAATTTGGTGTTCGGGCAGGGGAGACCCAGCAGAATTGTTTTGGGTGACTCGGGGTCAAATTCGGCCCAATCAAGATTCATCTTTGACTTTGACTAATGTAGTGTGACTCTGAGAAGCTGGTGTTTTGGTACATACTGCAGAAAATATAAAAATAGACATACTCTATAGCTATGGTTCATTCTAAATGGTAACTTCTGTCACTGTAAATTGTATAGACAAGTTGGTTGTATACAAATAGATGCTTGTAAGCTCACTCAAAGAGAACAGCCATGTGCCTCGAGGCTTTATTTCTAGTCAGTCTTTCGTGTGAGGTTCAGGTCAATTGATATTTGTGAATGAGAGTTGTTGATGTGTGTGTGTTCCTGCCTCCTGGCTCAGTCCTGTCAGACTTGGTATAGACAGCCTGTTTAGCCCACAGACTTTACAGAATACAACAACAACAACAACAACGCTGTCTCTCTCACACTCACTTCAAAACAAACCACCCTGTGCAGAACAGCCTTTGCATGCTGCTGCGTTTTTGACATATTGTTTCTGTTCATTGATTTCCTCCTTTGATCTCTTGATGTGTCAATCTGAAGGCTAATGTTTGTTAATGCAGCTCGCTGGAGTTTTCTAAGCACCCGCTGCTCTCAGTATGCTGTCAGGTCGATGGTTAATTCTCTCATCAGGGTTTCTTTCTAAACTGAGATGAAAAGGACAGGACAACCGTGCTGGAGAAAATGTGACGTTAAAGTAACAAGATCTTCTAATGTATGTTTCCTCACTAGCACACCTATTCAAAAATAATTTAAAACTTCTACTTTGATAATGTCAACATTTGGAATTTTTACATAATGCACATTTACTGCAAAAAAAATATTATTCAGTTTGTTTTTCTAGATCATGGACAATTATGGTGATTTATTTAAAGAAGCACGACAGGAATATGTTTAGGTATTAGGAAATGTGAATGGGTGAATGATGACTTGTATATGTACAGTGCTTTGAGGAGTCGTAAAGACTGGATAAAGCATATCAACCATTACAGTCCATGTTAGTCTATTTAGTCCATTTGTAATGATGGTCTGATTCCTTGTGCATGCTGTCTCACTGTAATGACTTATTTGGTAATAACAGAGTCATTGTTAACGCTGTGCTTTTCCTTCTATGACAAGTGTACATTTGTAAACGTGTAGAATGTAAAGTAGTATGCAAAATGTACATATTTAACTGAACGTTTTTAAATGTAATTTTTTGACAATCTCTTTCTCTAGGAACTAAGCAGTGGCACAATGCTGAGGATCTCCATCCCAGAGATCGCTACCTCAGAGCTTGGTGAGACACACACACACACACACATACACATACACACATACACACATACACACATACACACAGCGCTGAGTCAGAGCAGTTAGATCCTGGAAATTAGGTTTGAGAGCTGCCGTACGTTATTACACAGTGACGTATAATACTTATGTGTTGAGGATGCCATTACAAGGCACACACACACACACACACACACACACACACACACACACACATACATACACACATACACATACACACATACACACAATGAATATTAAATAACGATTAAGTAATTAAATCCATGAAAAACGTTTTTCTTGTTTCTTTCTTTTGATTTATTTTTCTTCCTCGTTATCTTTGGCACACATGTTAGTTTTTAGTGTACTATATATAGAAATATTCACTTCACTACATGAACTTGGATGTGTTTTAATTGCCTTTGGAGCTTTCCCTTACTAAACAAAGTTAAAATGAACCCTTTAAGAATAGTTATCCACTGGGGCAGGGGTCTGTAACCTTTTTGACCAAAAGAGCCATTTTGCTCCTTTTTCCAAAAACATTTTTTGTCTGGAGCCGCAAAACATATTTCATAGTTTTTTATTGTTATATCAAACAAAAACTACAATTTTTTTTGCATTTATTAGGCTATTTATTACATGATATAAAACTGTTAACCTCTAATAAGAAACAAAGAACTCTTATAAGGAGAATTAAAAATAATACACAGGCCTACTTTAAAATAAATTAAACACAGCACTTGGAGAGTCCTCTGCACATTTGAAGGAAAAAAAAACATTATTAAAATGGGCCCACTTTGAAATAAATAAAACATATAGCTGCACCCTAAAAAGAGTCAAAGGTAGGGAGGTAAGAATGGAGAAACCAGCTCGAGTGTGCTAGAATTTGAAAGTACACAACCGGAAAAAATATGACTCTTCCTTCAGACTTCCTTACAGAGCCCCTCCTCCAACACACACGAACGCGCACATGACCAATGAGGGCACGAGATAAATTTGTGCACAGATGGAAGGCTGACAGGCAGGTAGGCCATCCAGTTATTTTAGCCGGGCCGGCTCAGATGATTGGTCGTGCTTTTTACAGCGCCACGGCTTCAACAGATACATTTTTGTATGTATTTATTGTCAAAGCATTTAATATATTCATTGCTATCGGGACGTTAAGAGCATTCCATGGAATATAACAAAAAGTGTTTTCTGAAATAAATGACATACCCCATTGAATTATGACTGAAGACCGTCAGCTGTCTTCCTCTCCCTTGTTGTTCCTCGATAGTAAAGGCTGCACCACCGTTGACAACTTCTCTCTACATATCAAACATACCGGTAAACCAGCATCGTTTGCTGTGAAAGCAGATAACTCTGTCCACACAGAATTAAATCCTGTGTTCCTCCGGTACTTTTCTTTGATTTATCCATAGTTCGCTCATCGAGCCGGGGGTCAGGTTATTCGCCTCCAAGAAAGGCCCTCGCGCGGGACCGTAGCAGGATGTGACGCATATTTTAGTTGACCTAATTAAAACCGTTTTGTTTTTTATTTATGTGTCACAGTATCACCTCAAAATAAAAGATACGAAACATTTTCAACCATGCAACAAAATATAAATAGTCCTACAAATACTTTTATTTTATTTCCTTCTTATTTTTGTCTAAGCTCAAGGGAGCCAGAGCAGAGGGCTTAAAGGGCCGCATGTGGGCCGCGGGCCGCGGGTTGCCGACCCCTGCACTGGGGGAATTAGCGTAGAAGCATAATGTGCATAGATAACCTAAAATACATTTTCACATGGGACATTCATCGTGTGGGAACCTCAGTTAATTAGTATATCGATCCTCGGGTCAATAAAATATACACCTTTCTCTTTAGTTCAATCTGACTTTAGACAACATGTATATTAAAGTATACATTTTTTAAGTTATAGTAAACAATATTAAACCGTTTTAAAGCATGATTTTGTCGACGGCTATTTATGTTTATTAAGGATCCCCATTAACTTTTGCTCTCGACAAAAGCTACTCTTCCTGGGGTCCGACACTTAAAACAATACAACAATAATACAGCAACATTTAGGACATAAGTCCTGACATCATTAACAACATTAAAAACATCACCAATATCATCAACAACATGCGATCAAGTTAAATTAGGGTTCACAGCTCACAAGGGTACATGGTCATTAGTAGATGGCCCTTCAATCTCTTCTTGAAAGAGGCTCTGGACTCTATTTCAGTAAGGTAGTTTGGCAATGAGTTCCATTCCTTTATAGCTCTATAAGACACAGAAGAGTTCAGAAGATGTGTCCTGGGTTTAGGTGCCAGTAGATGGCCTGATGTAGCTTGTCTAGTCTTATGGTCATGCTCGTCTCTTGTGTAAACTATTTGATCATAAAAATACAGTGTTTTTTTTGCTAAATTGGACATTTTTTAGAAATGTGATAACACGAGATTGCAGACGTTTCTCAACCGGAAGCCATGATAGGCTTCTATGCATAACTCCAATATGAGTGCGCTTCGAACAGTGGAGAGCTAGTCTGGCAGCCTTGTTTTGAGCTATTTGTAATTTCTGTAAATGTGTTTTTGCTGCTGATGACCATATGACCGGACAGTACTCAAGATGTGACAAAACCAGAGACTGAATTACTTGTTTCAAAGTGGTTGGTGTTACATACTTTGTACATTTTCTCGCCACAGCTATGCTCCTACTTAAAAAGGTATTTGTCGATTCCCATCAAACACAATCTAAATCTCTTCGTTAACCAAGGTCCTGTTGGATCATTTAATTTCAGTAAAGTATAGCTTTCTATTTATTTTGTGTTCCATATTTAATTTAAAACACAACTTTAGTATTTTCCAGTCAAATGTGTACAATTTTTTTTATTTTTTTTACGTAACATTTTGAGTTAATTGCTCTGGTAGAAATGTCAATTCAGTTACATTCTTACTGAAAGGCTTGCCTCTGCATCTCTTTTTCAATCTGCTTTTATATTTTCTTTACAAAATCTCTCTGAGTACTTTGGAATAATGAATATGCATTACACTTACACTGTTTTTTTTCAATTCATGCAAAGGTCTATCAGTGTATCTTTTATTTGATTTAGTTGGCTAATGGCTCCTCGGGCAGATCTTAATGTCTGCTCCAACCATGACCTTCAAGCTTCTCTATCTCCTCCAGCTTGTATTAAAGCTTGTCTTTTTATTTAAAGCCTTCATCATCACTAAGGTGTGTACGTATAATCCTATCTGCCTCCTGCTTCTAGCTCTCTGTCTTTGCGTTTTTTCTCCATCATTTAGTAATCGATCTTGCAGGCAAGGCTTTCTCCCGCTAATGAAATGGCATTTATCCACCTCTTCCCTGACCTTTCCCACTCTGGAAGTCCAATTAATAAAGCCTGGTGACGATGATTAGGAATCTGATTGGTCAGAGTTGTAAGGAGACACTGTAACACTAATTACTGTTGTATTGGTGGTTCTTTTTTAATTTCCTTTTTTGTTTTCTGATGTTAGGAAGTAAAGGCCAATTGGATCATCAGAAGAAAAAAAGTTAAATAAAAGAAAACTTGGTTTTGAAAAGTCAGATTTGTTGAAAAGTATTTCCACTTTAAGACTGGAGTCACTGGACTAAAGAAATAGCCATGAAAGTTGTGTTTTTAAACTTTTTATTCATGAAGTATCATTACAGATAACAGACATTATGTGAAGATATAGAAACACGAGCATAGGAAACTCTTAGGATCTGAATCCCAGGTATTACATTACATGTTACTTGTTAGACGCTTTTATCCAAAGCGACTTACATACTCAATACTGTGGACAATCCCCACAGGAGCAATTTGGGGTGAAGTGTCCCAGGGACACAACGACATGCTGACTGCAGTGGGGTTTGAACCATTCACCTTTAGTTCCGACTAAAACACTTTGAATTATCAGACTTTCATATGCATCATGTTGTACCCAAAAAAGTGTTTGACCCCCAGGCCACAGGGTACTACATTATCATTCTATTTAAATAACAATATGATAACTTTGGACTTTGTTTTTAAAACTTTTAAAACAAACTTGCTCTTTTATTTCTCAATGTTTTCCTTTTCTGTCCCTTTTCCCCTCTGATTTATTTCAGTGAGGAAATGCCTGCAGGCCATTCGTTTCATCCTGCCCAAGGAAGCTGCCATGAAGGTTGGTGGATTTGATTAATTATGATAAAACACAGAGAAAAGGAACCGCATTAGGTCACGAGGATAATACATTAGAGACAATGCTGGCATGACATTATGTATTGGTCAATAAAGCCTGAAAACATTTACTCATGGAATATGTTACCGTGTGCAGACTCAACATTAAGAGAAGCAAAGATAGTGTAATCAGATTATCTGTCTGCCATCAAATGTCATGCAGAGCCTACATCATTACTTTGGTTGGAACTTGCATGGTTATTTAATTATTTGAAATGACATATAATAAATCTTACTTTTCTGCAATAATATAGTTACAATGGATACAATTTCATTTAATTTAAAGTAGGTTTAGTTGATACATTTGTATCTTTAATACTCTTTTATGCATGCTTCTTAGGCAGTGTTGGGCAAGTTACTTCCAAAATGTAATACAGTACATATTACTTACTACTGTCTTTTTTTAAGTAATAAGTTACATTACAATATTACTGTCTCTGAAATGTAATGAGTTACACTACTTTGATATTACTTTTGAGTTACTTTACCAACATAACTGCAAAATAATGGCTAGGTATGTTGAATGCTAAAATGTAGCTTAGTGCAGCTCATTATACATCCAGTGAAGGGCAATGTGGTATAGCATAACAACTGTGTAGGCCAGTGGTACTCAGACTTTTTTATTAAAGGTCCACTTGTGAATTGTATACAAGGTGACTGGTCCGGATCAATGCCAGTAAAGTTCCCCCCCCCCCCTCGGAGCGGAGAAACAAAACTGAAATTAAGAAGTAGTTTTTTACGGCGCGCTATGAAACCCCTTGAGGGGGTTTCCCGACATGTCGTCGCAGTAAATTAAAGGGTGTTTCATGTTGTCGTTGCTGTGGACCTTCTTAATCTACCTTCTTTGGGGGCCCCCTTCTGGTCCAAGCACTTGCCTGTCGGCAAACGGCGCCCCTGTATACACACACACACACATTCAATACATACATATGGTGGCTTGAACTAGTGGGAGAAATGGCACTGTTTGTCTGTAGCCAATGCCTTGAACCTCGGCAAAAGAGGCATTAGAAAGTCAAGGTAAACTTGCGGTTAACTTGCAGTCTGCAATGCGTGTCACGCTCGCGCACACAAGTAAATATATATGCACGTTCATTCTCACAACTCGTCAGACACAAGAAAATATACATTAATTTAGAATCAGATCAGAAAGATTTTATTTTGTATAATTTTTAATTTTTATAATGGGACACAGGGTTCGGTCCGGATTGATTTGCAGTTCGGTCCGGACCCACCTAGGTCCGGAGTTTGAGAAGCCCTGGTGTAGGCCATTAAGGCTACTTACAACTTTGATTACACGACTTAGTTGAATACTCGATTCTGATTGTAAATTCTTAACATGTGACACGTTGTTAATACATTAGTACAGACCACTGTCAAGGACTATAATGAAGGTTGCTAAGGAGGATCAAGAAAGAGAAAGGAAAAGAGGTTAAAAGACGGAGCGCTGGACGTCAGATAAATCACCAGAAGAAGGCAGAGAGGAAGTAAACAATAACAGGAACACGGAATGGGCTCTGTAGTTTGTTTAGTATATGACCGTGTAATAAGCGGGATAATGTGCAGTGAGGCGGTCATTATGGGGAAAAGAACAACCGACAGGCTGATCAGGGAACCCGACGCGAAGCGGAGGGATCTTGTTGAGCCTGAAGGGTAAACACCAGGCTTACTAATCTACCCGCACAATTTTTCTCTGGTGTCAGAATGTCTCACGATGTTGGTAAATTCTTAAAAAACAAAACACCATTTCATTTTGGGTTAAAATGAGTTGTAACTGAGAATTGTAACTGGTAGTATATTACCCAAATTTCATTAGTAATGCGTTACTTTTTGCTGTAACGAAGTAATGTAATACATTACTGTAAGCGTTAACGCGTTACACCCAACACTGATCTTGGGTAACATTGAGCTGTCTTTGGCTCTTTTCTGCTGGAACACTGTACATTTCCCCTCTGGGACTAATAAAGGGATTCTCATTCTGATTCTAAATTCCTGTATTTTTTTTCAGGTTTTGGTGAAGTGGTATAACATCTACAACGCGCCCGGGGGTCCGAGTGCTCACGCAGAGTGGAACCTGTTCGTCACCTGCTTCATGACGCTGATGGGCTACAACACTGAGCGCCTGGCGTGGACCCGAAACGTGAGTCCGCTGTAGAAGGGTTTTCTATTCATTTCTTCTTTTATTTTTGTAGCTTTCTTTTATTGTTTTCTTCACAAGGTAAAATGACATACAAACAAATATTACATTTCAGAGAGAACAGTGCCTGTAAGGAGACAATCTACATAGTAATCAAATACTGCTTGCTTTTTTACGACTCCTTCGTTGATATGTACCCTAACCATTTTTCCCAGCCCACAAGAAATGTGTCTTCCATTACTTTCAACTTGTATGGGATTTTCTCCATTATTAGGATATCACCAATAATATTAACCCATTGTCTGTAGCTTGGTGTTTCCGCCTTTAGCCAGTTCTTAGTGATAGCCTTCTTTCCAGCAGCTAGGAGGATCTTGATCAGGTATTGATCTCCGACATGTACAGATCCTTCCATATGTCACAGGTATAATACCAGACAGGTTCGAGGGATTCTATGGCCTAATACCTTGCATAGAACAGAGTGTACACAGTCCCAGAAAGGTTGCATTTTACTGCAGCTCCAAAACACATGTGTATGGTGAGGTTCCAGATGTTTACAAAGTCTCCAGCATGGTTGTTGAGTGTTTGTTTGTTTACTACTGATTTTGGGTGTGTAAAAGAAACAAATTTGGTTTTTCCACAGAAATTCTTATTATTTTCTTATTTTAACTTCAAACACTCATTCACACTCATTCACATGTTTTGACCTTGCTCTCTGCCCCCTCCCCCCTCTCCACAGCTGCATTTTGAAGTGCCTCTCTCTCCGGTGATTGCTGCTAAGAAGGCTCGTCCCTCTGATGGAGGCTCTGAAGAGGTTTGTGACAAAAGTGTGACCTGTTGTGATGTTTTTGGGGCACAGTTAACGTAAATCACGATCTCTGTAATGTCTCAATGTTAACTATAAGCAAAGGTTAATTCTTCCTTATGTCTTAAACTTTAAAGTAAATCAACTTTAAAACTGATTTTCAGACCAATCAAGAATTGTTATTCTAATGTGATAATTAATTATCTTAACTACTATATGTAGATGCTTGATAGAATAATAATCCAGTAGTGGTGCAATAGTGTTACAACATTTGTTTGTCTTTAGAACATCCTGGAAATATTTTTGTTATCGTAGCTTGAAGAAATGAGGACATGAAAACATTTAATAAAGTCAAGATTAAAAATATATACAATTTGTTCCTAGACTGAAATAATGGAGCCTTTTTCAGGCAGAGAAGTCTGTTTGCTTTGGAAATGTAATATTGGAGGGAACCCACCCAAATATTTCACTTTAACTGTGTTTGACAAAGGGAAAGCCCAGCGCTCCAGAAAAACCTTATTCACTCAGGAGACCCTTTCAATGTGCGTCTAAGAATAAATGTGACACATAATTGAAAAAAAATAACCTGTAGTCTCTGACACACACACACACACACACACACACACACACACACACACACACACACACACACACACACACACACACACACACACACACACACACACACACACACACACACACACACACACACACACACACACACACACACACACACACACACACACACACACACACACACACCAGATTAAAGGTGGAGGATTGTTAAGTGGTCTGTGTTTATGTGGGTTCATCGGAGCAAAGCATGACTGTCAAATGTCAATCAGCTGGAGGCTTAGGCTGTGCTCTGTACTTTTGTATGTGTGTTTGTAAGGGTATTTGTGTGTGCCTGGTTGAGTGTATGTTTGTGTGTGCGTATTTGTTTGGCCTGAGGAACTGAATGAGCCAAATTAAACTGAAGCATCCTGTTGACCCTGCCTGTGACTCTTCACGGATGTTATGATGGTTTTGCAGCCACAAGTAATACACAGAATAGACATAAAGTTCACATATAATGTATGTATAAGCAATCTGAATGTTAAAATGATAGTTCTCACAACACATGCTATCTTTTTATCCATCAGATAGTCACAAATCCATATGTCTTGGAGCACATTTTTACACAGACATGTAAAGTTTTGCAAACCAGCGCCCTCAAAGCTGTGCATGTTACCGGCAATGATCTCCAAGTCAAATTCGGACAGACCCCACCCCAACATTATTTTAAGTCCCCTGACATGACCTGTAAATAAACACACAGGCTATTTAATCTGGGTTTTCTCTTATTGAATACAACATCTAGGAAACGAGGAAAAGCCTCTTTCTCTGGCTCCGCTTGATCAATATCCTGAAAGGCAAACACATCCTGCAATCAGTTCCAGGCTTAGATTTAAAAAATACTGCTCAATCATTTACAAACATACATATTTTGTTCTGCCCCCCACCCACCACATTAGATACATTTCTGCCATGGTCATGACGGTACTGTGAATTCTCCCTATACACTACTGTTTTTGCAGTATTGAAGCCTTGGCCTGGCTTGAACTAGCATCAGAGAGCAGCACACTGACTTTCAATGTTTCCTTCTGCACTTTGTTTCTTGAGACAACAGGGCATGTTTGTTTTTTTCTTTGAGGGAAATAGTTTTTTTGAAGCTGTTGTTGGCCTGTGGAAAAATGTAATCATAAGAAATGACTCTGGAAAAGCTGCAGATAGAGACATAAGAAATGAATGCAACTGATTATTTAATGTTTAATGTTGTTTTTATAGGCAATAATTGAAGCTTTGTTAGTTACAGGTTTAATATGTGCAATAAGTTAATTTCAATAAGTTTGGCAATAAACATTGAACCAGTCCGGCCTTCGACGAGTACTGATTTTTTATTTTGGCCCCCTGTGTATTTGAGTTTGACACCCCTGCTCTAAACCCTAAACCCTCTCCTGTCAGAGAACCCCGCTTTAATCTGTCTTTAATCTCTTCTCTCTGTAGGACCTGGACTACCTGTTAGGGTCTCACTACCACCGGCAGATTAATTCCCAACCTATCTGCTCCAACAATGCTCTCACTACAGAAACTGTGAGTAACCCGCTCTTAAGCAATTTCAGGATCACTGTCTTTTTTTTATGAAAGGAAATATTGTCACAATATCAGAATAAAGATAAATAGAGAGGAGAACATTAAACACATGATAGGCAGTGTTGGTGAAGTTAAAATGACTTGTACTCTTCTTTATTTTGTTGTCTATGCACATAGACAAATTACTTCACATTTGTCGCTTCAGCCAATGTCTTGCCATTTAACGTCTATGTACACCAGTTTTTGCCTCGTACTGACAATATTTACATGTTTTCTCCCTTTCCTCTCCTTCTATCCATGTCCTAGATGTCCTCTCCCTCCACTCCCTCTCTGAAGTTGGACAGTTCGGCTCCTCTCTTCCCTCACATTCCCGCTCTTTTCTACGTCCTCCATCTGCTCTACCAGGAGCTGCAGCTCGATGAGCTGCAGAGAGCGAGAGCCTCATCGCTGGTCTGTCTGCTGCAACAGCTGGCGAGGTAACCTGTGTGTGTGTGTGTGTGTGTGTGTGTGGGAAAATACAGTTATTTAGATTGATTAGAGTGTTTTCGATTCTATATTTATGCATATGAATTTAGCATTTAAGTCATGCTGTAAATGACTTTGATGAGTGTGAAAACAGTTAAACATTGTTGCTTTAAAGGTCACCTATTATGCAAAATCCACTTTTTCATGTCTTTTATACATCAACATGTGTCCCCTCTGTGGAAGTTTCCGGAAAAAAGATTCTCTCACTTTTTGTCCTGATCCATTTATATTTTACATTTTTGACCGTTGGGGCTCATCCTAATTTTCGGCCTTGATGTAACAATATTCATAATTAAGTAAATGCAACACCCTTTTCACCCCGGTTACACGTTTCATTTGCCCTGTACGATGGGCGCTGTAAGTGATGAAAATGGGGGATGTTGGCTTATCTGGCGCCCGCAGCTCACAGACAAAATGCGAGTGAGCGAGGGAGAGAGAGAAGGGCGCACCGCCCGGTGTTGTTATTAGAATCTGGTGCTAGCTGCTCTAACGGAGATAAGAAGAAGATGTTTCTACAATAATGTGGAGGGAGAGTCCTCTCCAGTCAGACTGAGAGGCTGATACTACAGCTCAGTGAGGTAAAGGACTCTGAGTCTAAGTTCAAACAGTTTGGTCACAATTTATGTAAACACATATTTCCAAGGCACTCCTTTGTAATTATTGGGATAAACAGGTTTTTAAATCATTCCAATGTATACTATAGGACAGTAACCAAAAATATCCTTTAAAACTGGAGAGATACAAAAAAAATGCATAAATAAATAAATGTTAAGGTAAAATAAGATATGAATGAACAACACAAATAAAATAAGTTACATTCATTTGTTATTGGCTATGGTAGGCTATTGGTTATGTTCACATACTTATTTGATTACATCCACTTGTCTAAGATGACAACAGAGACTTTCGACCCAAACCCAGCTGTTGACTTGTGGATGCAAGCAGCTAATCGCAGACTCAACCAGAGAGAAAGTAGTAGGCCTACATCATCAGCTACCATGTCTGACAGAGAGGAAGACAGTGAGGAGAGCAGTCAGGAGGGTAGTGATGACAGCTTGTAGGATTACTGGTTGAGCTAATGTTGTCTTGTGTTCACCTCTGCATGTGTGTTCTGTGTTCACATCTGTGTGTTCAGTGCCGTGTGTCTGGCAAATAAAGTCAAGACCCCTCAAAAGTTACGGTTTATTTCATTTTAAGGATGAGCACCAAGCAACATCTCCAGGTGCTCCTTTGAGAACCAGGGCAAACAAGTTATGTGCACCCCTGGTCATAACGATGTTTTGGCTTGTCTAACCATTAGCCAATCAGCAACCAAGGTAACCCCCCCCCCCCACCTTATCACCTGAATCTCCTCCTAGAGCACCATTGTGTTCTTTGTAACCAAATATCTCTCAGAGGGGCGTGGGGAGGGGCTCCTTATTTTCATTTAAAGTAACAGACAGAGAATCAGCACTTTTGAAACAGGGCGGAAACAGAGGGGATTATGGGTAATGCTGCAATGATCTGTTTGGTGTTTGGAGCCAAACACTTCAGAGACATGTTTGTATATATCTGATACCTATAACATATAGATGAAAACAGTATTATAGGGGACCTTTAATATAAAGGTTACAAAACAGAGACTTGTCATTTATCACAACAAACTAAACCTGGTCTACTTCTCACCCAACCACGTTTAACTCTCACCATGAGGAGAACACATCTCATTGTTTTTAGTGAATGCGTGAATGCGTATGTGCAATCAAAGCTTTTCGTACGGAGAAATAAACTTTAAAAGGTTGTCGAGTGACCGCTGTGGCTGGTGACAATGACAATAACAGGATAGGTGGAGTGGGAGAGTGAAGCGCTCTTCAGAGTAATTGGCCTTTGTTGGGGAGTGTGTGGGCTGTTTTGAAGTATGTTGCACTTTTTTACACTCTTGCTGTTATCAGGACAACTGGTTAAGGCTACAATTATGATCCATATTGTTATATAGGTATTTTTGGGGAGTGATCATATTTCTTTTAAATCCTTATAAATTATCTGCAAGAATGAGGTTTTAAATTGGTTTGAGTCTTCTTTACAGATGCTTTATTACCATTTGTATTATTTAATGAGGTATTATTTTAAAGATAAATCATCATAAACATTCATTACGGTCACATTTATGCTGCCTCAAGTAAAGGGGATCACTTAAAGGGCCCATGTCATGGCCATTTCTACTGATCATAATTCCATTGTTGAGGTCTACTAGAATAGATTTACATTGTTCAATGTCCCAAACTCACATTGGTTTCTCATACAGCGTCTCTGTATAGTATGTGTATTCACTCCCTGTCCTACATGGTTTGTTGGAGCTCCTGCCCCCCCCCCCCCCCCCTCCCTATGAGCCCACTGTGCTCTGATATGTGATTATGTGTTACAATGGAGTTTGTTAGTAACCAGAAAATGACACCAGTAATGACAAACAGATGAGAATGCTGCGTGGGGTCTGGGTGCCGTGTTGGCGGGACGTTGCGGGGCTCGCTGCTCCGCCCTTTGAGACTCGAGGAGCCGACAGTGTGAGCTGTATTACTGGTGTAGTTTCCTGGTTCCTGCGTGGGGTCTGCGAGACACCGAGGAACTCAGCCTGAACTCAGCCTGAGCACACACACGGGAGTGTGTGGCGAACTGTGAGTGGAGATCCACGCAGCTGCGGCTGAGAAAAGTTAAGGTTGAGTGTGCTGGCGAAACTCCGCGGAGTATCGCGGCTGAGAAAAGATACGGCTGAGAAAAGATACGGCTGAGTGAGTGTGTGCAGTGTTTCCCCTATAGACAAATAGTGGCGGCGCAGCGCCGCTGCTGAAATATGCACGCCACTGCTAGGGGGCGCCAGCCAGGTACCCAAAAAATAAATAAATAAGTGGTGACCCTTTTTCATTTTTGATAGTTTGTTATGTGGATTTGTAGTATTTGTGTTACTGTATGTTCAATAAAGGTGTATTTTTGCTAAATCTTGAGACTTTGCCACTGTATGTACTAGGCAGGGCCGATTTTTGGCATAGGGCGCCAGATCTGGGGGGTGTTGCGCTGGTAGCTCTGGGAGGGAAAAAACATTTTTGACCGTTGGCGCTCATCCTAATTTTCGGCCTTGATGTAACAACATTCCTAATTAAGTAAATGTAACACCCTTTTCACCCCGGTTACACTTTTCATTTGCCCTGTACTAGGGATGCTCCGATCGCCAATTTCGGGGCCGATCGCCGGAATCAGTATCGGCCGATACCGATCGCCGATCCGATCTAGTGGGCGGGGCCTAAATGGAAGATTTAAACATCACTTTAAATCTTCCATTTAAAGTGATGTTTAAACTCAGTTACGGTACGTCCACACAGCAGCTTTTCAAAAATCTTGAAAATCTTGGAGCTGGGCGTGTCTGAAAGCTTGGGGATTTTTTGCGAGCAACGTGACCAACAACCAATCACATGAATCTCCCGCCCCCGACATACAAAGCAAAAAACCCCGGGGATTTAATGCGAGCAATATATATATATATATATAAACTCCCCAAACAGGCGAAAACCTACCAGTTTCACTCACTGTCTCTGCCATCTCCCTCCATGCCTGGTTCCTCCGGTTTGTATCCCGTTAATAGTTCTGGTCGTAAAGAACCGGGTGATTTGCTACCGTAATTTCTTGTTTGGAATATGAGGAAATTAACTGCGGTCTGGTTCTCCCTGCTTACACGCGGTTTGATTGGCTAGCGCTTCTACTGTCAGATTTGCATAAACGGGATTTGATTGGCTGACGCTTCCAGCTCAGCTTCAAAAGTTGAACATTGCTCAACTTTTGAATCCTGAAAATCCTGGAAATCTTCGCTTCGCTCCCCCACAATGCAGTTCGGCGAAAAGCGAGGCAAAGGGACGTCATCCCCATTCAAAGTCAATGGGCAGAGAAGCGTTGGAAGCGTTGGAAGATTTGTTTAAAGCTGCTGTGTGGACGTACCGTTAATGCTCATTCACTGGAGCTTCCACAAACAACAATCAACTTAATTATTACATTCAAATGATGTACATTATTCAAGTTTACATTCACTTTGGATAATAACACGGGAGAAATTAGCGGAAGCGCTCTCTTTTCCTCTCTCCCTCTCTCTCTCCTGACAGCCTGTCCGTATCTCATGCAGCTCACTGATCCAGTAATGAGTGACCCGACAGTGAAGAATAAATATATTTATAATAACTAGTTTAGCTTGTTCCAGAGGTAGATAAAATAGCTAAGTGTGTTAGGTCCAGTGTTGTGCTAGTTACTGAAAACCAGTAACTAGTTACCATTACTAGTTACTTCATTTCAAAAGTAACTCAGTTACTTTACTAGTTACTTACACCAAAAAGTAATGCGTTACTGTGAAAAGTAACGTTTTGGTTACTTGAAAAAAGGGCTCCCATTAATGCCCTTATAGCCTTCATTTCAGTACTGTTATTGCATTGGAGAATAATACAATCTGTTGATCAACTTGACATGCATTATATGCAATCTGGATTGCATCGATATTAGCTGGCTTTCCATTTTTGGAAACTCCAGGTAGTTGGAAAAAAATTCCGTCCCATATGCCGTGTGCCGCCCGGACATGGTATCATGCTAACTAGCTCCCTGAAAGCGGGTGACTCCACTGTAGCAATAGCCTGCATGTGTTCTACAACATACCGTGCAATGGCTTTATCGACTTTTCCCTGGCTAGCAGTCCCTTGGTTAAAATCCAGCCGCTGTTGCTTAGGTGGAGGTGGAGTGGCGTCGGCTGAGTCTCTGTGGTCTTAGCTACTAGCTTCGTCCCAGCATGTTGTTTTTGCATTTGTTTTAAGAGATTTGAATTACTGGTTTGGGCAGTAGATAAGATCTTTGACCCGCCAGGACACAACTTACATTTAACAGAAACTTTCTTTTCTTTGTGCTCGACAAAAGTGAAATAGTGAGAATATTTCCAGGTGGAGAA